ACTACAGGCACCAAAACTCCACGTAGGAAGAGACCATATGAGTTTTGTGAAGCAATTGTTGATTAGACTACATAAGCTGATAAGAGGTTTGATAAGCTAGTTGAGGCAATAAATAGATTGTGAACAAGGGTAGATAGTCCAAGATCCATATCTTGTGTGCTAGCAGAGGTGAACACCATTGAAGGGCTTAACCATAATGACTATGTCAAGCTATATGTGGTTTTCCATGACTCAGATGCAAGAGAGTTTTTTATGAACATGCTCCCCACCCTTAGGAAGAATTGGGTGATAAGTGTCATAGGTCGTTGAACATGGTGGTTGTTTGACTTTGAGAAAGTTGACTAGTAGTTTTTGTTTTTTTTTTCATGAGGAAATGGTTGTTTGGATGGTTAACCTTGAAACACATATGACTTGATGGTTTGGTTTTTATTTTTTTATGGTAAATGGATGGTTTGATAGATACATATTGTGAAGATAGGTATATATATATATTGTTATGTTTTTTTCTTTTTGTTATGGTTATAACTACATGTTGAATGGATGTAGATGTTGGTGAATGCAGGTTTTAGTTACTCTTATTTGTTGTTATGGGTATATAGGTACATGGTGAATGGATGGATTTGGAGAGAGATGTATGATGAATGTAGTTTTATTTGCTCTTATTTGTACGCTTTTTCTCCTTGATGGTTACACTTGACATATGTACATGGTGTATGGATGAGTTGGGTAGATATGTATGGCTATGTGTTAGATGTTTGAGACAAGATTATGGGCTTGAGGCAGGTTGATGATTAATGAATGGCTGGGTATATTCTTATGCCTTTTTTTTTTTTTTTTTTCATATGCACCACTAAAGAGATGGTATTGTATGTTACGGGAAACATGTGTTTGATTGTCATGATATAGATGTCAATGTATGCTTATGGGTCACCACCATAAGCATTTGTCATTTGACATCATGATCCAACCTTGATAGGTACAGGCACCAAAACTCCACATAGGAAGAGACCATATGAGTTTTGTGAAACAATTGTTGATTAGACTACATAAGTTGATAAGAGGTTTGATAGGCTAGTTGAGGCAATAAATAGATTGTGAACAAGGGTAGATAGTCCAAGATCCATATCTTGTGTGCTAGCAGAGGTGTCCATTGAAGGGCTTAACCATAATGACTATGTCAAGTTATATGTGGTTTTCCATGACTCGGATGCAAGAGAGTTTTTTATGAACACGCCCCCCACCCAAAATTGGGTGATAAGTGTCATAGGTCGTTGAACATGGTGGTTGTCTGACTTTGAGAAAGTTAACTAGTAGTTTTTGTTTTTTTTTTCACGAGGAAATGGTTGTTTGGATGGTTAACCTTGAAACACATATGACTTGATGGTTTGGTTTTTATTTTTGCATTGAACCTTGAGCTGTGTAGGCTTTCTTTCATGAGATTGGGGTTGGCACTCATCGGGAGAATGTAAGCCATCAATTGTAGCAACAGGCTTCTTTGGTCTCCCTCTCTTTGATGTCTGTTGTTCAGCTAGTGCATTGTTAGCAGGATCCACAGGAATTTCCTCCATGTTGGCTTCAACATCCGGAAACGGAATGACCATTCCCCCATGGGAATCACATTCCGCCTACTCAATCCCATTCCGGTTGACCAAATATCCAGAAACAGAATGATCCATTCGAATTCTGATTCCGAGGTCCTATTCCCTCAAACCAAACTTTCCCTTAGTATTTTTTTAGTATTAGGGAGTTCAAAAGCTTGATTTTGAATAGATTAGAATCATTAGATATCCCAGAACAAGACATTGCATCTATTAGTTGAAGAAATAGCATTTCCTTTTCCTTCTATTCTAACTTAAGTAGTGCAGGTGCTATGCATAAGGTAAAGATATAAGATTATAAGTTAATAATATGTTATCAAATTTATCTTTTATAACCTGCACCAAAATCAAGGCAAACATTGGATTTATAATAGTATAGATTAGTTGTAAAACTTTTATACATAATGATGTTAAAATACAAAAGCTTTAAATCCAAGTGCTTAAAAATTCAAAGGAAAATGCTAAGAACACAAATATCTTGAGGAAATTACTGATATATGGTTACTTTTACTTCAAAAATGCATTTCCAACTAAGGGAGCCTAATAAAAACTTGTGCGATTTCTCCTCAATCAAACTATTGTGTTTAAACAACACTGCTCCCCAATTATTCCCCTTGCAGGTGGAAGCGATGGCACTCAGCAAAGGCCTTAATGTGGTTCTATTATATTATTTCTAAAGGAGACTTATTGATTGTCAAGTTGGATTATTGACAATCTGGGGTGCAACAACTGTCATATCACCAGGTCGCACAATTTCTTTGCCAAACTCACAAATGGCCTTCAAAGCACTGTTAAAGTGTCATGAAATTGTTTCACTAGAATGCCAAAAATGGTCTGCAGTATCCTGGTTTGATTTACTGTGCCCTATCACTTGCAATAGAATCCCAACTTGCTCGTCAACTAATACATACCGACTGTCTTTCACTAACCCTCTCTGTCTTAATGAGGCTACTAATCTAAGAAACGCTATTGGTGTCAATCTGAACATATCCAAGCATCTAGTTCCACCATTTTAGATGACATTCTTTAAATATTCTGACCCTGTCAATATGTCATCATGGTAAGGTGTATTAGGGATTGACATCTCTTCTTTCTCCAATTCTCTCACAATGAGGATAGTTGTCTTCATCTGTTGCTCTTCATCATCAATTGCAGCAATTATAACTGCTTGCAGCACTGCCATCCTGGTTGGGTTGTCAACCATTTTGATCTGGCATATGAATAACGAATGACTATAAGATACCTATCAAGGTTGGATCATGATGTCAAATGACAAATGCTTATGGTGGTGACCCATAAGCATACATTGACATCTATATCATGACAATCAAACACATGTTTCCCGTAACATACAATACCATCTCTTTAGTGGTGCATATGGGAAAAAAAATAGGCATAAGAATATACCCAGCCATTCATTAATCATCAACCTGCCTCAAGCCCATAATCTTGTCTCAAACGTCTAACACATAGCCATACATATCTACCCAACTCATCCATACACCATGTACATATGTCAAGTGTAACCATCAAGGAGAAAAAGCATACAAATAAGAGCAAATAAAACTACATTCGTCATACATCTCTCTCCAAATCCATCCATTCACCATGTACCTATATACCCATAACAACAAATAAGAGTAACTAAAACCTACATTCACCAACATCTACATCCATTCAACATGTAGTTATAACCATAACAAAAAAAAAGATAGCAATATATATATATACCTATCTTCACAATATGTATCTATCAAACCATACATAAAATTCAGCAGGAAATTGATGGAAAGATTCCAAAGGTTTTCACGAGTGGCAGCAGCAACTTTATTCTACTTTTCAGTGTGAAGCTTCCTATAGAAGTTCAAGGACCTCGTACAGAATCAGGCGCCTGTTGCATGGAATGAATTCATACTAAGCATCATGTCTCTCTTTTATTCCATTTGAGTTATGGCTCTAATACAAATGTACTTTAGCTAACAGTTCAATACATATGTACATATGGGAGCAAATTTTCATTTTATATATACATAAGCATGAGAAACTAGGCTTGAAAGTTGAAATTGAGAGCGGTCACTGTGTCCTAGAAAATATCATAGGTTAGGTTCATATATCTAAATAGCCAAGTCCATCATTGGGTAACAACCCTTGTGTTTCAAAAACAAATTATCATCATCATCATCAACTAAGCTTTGTGCCAACCATATGGGGTCAGCTACATAATCCTGTTTTTCCATTCTATTACAGTTTAGTGCCATATCAACTATGTATTTGAGTAACATTTTACTCAAAAAAATACTATAAATTTTGTCCCAGTTTGGCATAAAGCATCAATTTCATATTCTATAGCTTTGTTCTCATCAATCAAAACTAACATCAGTAAAAATGGCATGTTTCTTGTGCTAATTGTTGCCCCATTATCCATATACCTGATTATAACAATATGTAAGGTGTAAGAGAGAATAGGCAACCAAAGAAATTAGGTATGGTAGGTTTTAATTATGAGTCATAACCACTTGATACTCCTTTCTTTCTTTCTCAGAACCCATCAAATTTATCTCTACTGGAACTGTAATGTATTATCTGTTAAGAGCATGAACTATCCAAGTGAGATTGTGAGAATATAACTCTTTATTCTCCTATAACTTTTTTCAGAAATTACCTAAGAAGATGGCCTAAATTGTTAATGGAGCTAAAGCCATAACAATTTTGTAATACTCCTGTCCCATGTCTAAACCATTTTCAAGTAGATAGACAAGTCAGTAAATATTGGGAGTCAAATTAGGATGGATATTTACAAAGAATAGTTGACAAATCATAATAGAGACACAAACTGTTAAATAGATCATAAAAATAAGAACAACTGGGTAACCACCCAACACAAAAAGATCCAAAGCCATACTAATAGGTACAGATTTTCCTTACTACTGCAAATATACAAGTAAAAAAATAAAAAAACTTAAAATAAACTTGTTAAACCATAAGACTGATAGATCAACGAAATAATCAGTAAGCAATCACAAATGTGACATGCATTTTCACTCAAAGAGAAGTTTCGCCCCAATTCCACTTTTTTTGTTGAAATTCATAGAAAAAATAGGATATGTGTTATGAATCTCAGAGATTGGCAGATACAATTATGACAATTGAATAGTGTACCTACATTTATACATAAATACATGCTCAGCTCCACTATGGATCCATAGTCAGCACCAAACAGAAAATGAGAGGAATCGGAATCTGCAAGGATACTGTTGATGTTTCATTTGTACTTCTCCATTATTCTTCTAGCTTCTTCTAAAGTATCATCTGTGGAAGAGGTGCCTCCACCCCCTCTTGGGCCTTCATCCTTATTCAAGGCTATATAAACAAAATATATGAGCCCCATCGTGGCCTGTTGATGAAAAAAGGTTTGTATCAACACCGTTCAGTTCCACTGTCTAAAGCTCATTTATCCTTAGAGCAACTAAACCAGCTATGCAGCTCCCACAGATCAGAAAAATGGATATAGTTGTAAAAGAAAATCTGATGGATCTAGAGTAAGAAGCACAGAAATAAAATATTATGAAGCTTCAAAAGAAAAAAAAAATATGGATTTTTTTTGTCAGTAATAAAACATGGAAAATTTAAACATCAAAAAATTTTGAAAAGGAGAAAACTGCACAAGGCATTTGCTTCTAGATTCTTTTTTTTGGTAAGATCATTTGCTTCTAGATTGAACACTTGCTTGGATGGATACCTAAATCAGCCAATGACCTGGTTGACTCTTTACCTAGACAAGGGAGATAATAAAACAATGCAAAGGGTCTACCCAAAAGGTCTGAAAGAATTGTAGTCTGGGCTGAAATAGGGAGTGTTTGGTATAGTAAGTGTTTCTCTTGAGTTTCAAAGGGTCTACTTGTTGAAGGGGGGAGATGCATGCAAGCCTAGGGAGGCAGGTGGATTGGGTTTAGGAAGGGTACAAGAGAGGAATAATGCATTGTTGGGCAAAAATGGCTTTGGAGATTTCCAAGTGAGAGAGGTATTGTGCATTTGGCAATCAAAAGCATTTATGGGATGTGCTCAAAAGGTTGTGAGTTGTGACACAGGACCAACCCGGGGTGCTACTTCAAAAAGCCCCTGGAAAGATATCTTAACTTCCCAACTTTTTGCAACACATCAGATATGATGCAGTCACTGGAGAAAGGTGAAATTTTGGGAGGACACTTGGTGGGGTGACTCTCCCTTGTGTCTTTCTTTTCCTAGAATCTATAACCTGTCCAATTCCAAAAATAAATCGATTGTTGAATTGGTAACTTTGGAGAGTAATGGATTAGGGTGGGATTTGGGACTGAGAAGACCCTTGAGGTATCAAGAAGCCAGTGAGTTCATTCCTTTGCTTAACCTCCTTCAAGAAGTCAATCTTTCTTCTTCAGGGAATGATGAGAGAATTTGGACACCCAATGTTAAGGGCATTTTTTCTTGTGCATCTTTTCTTAAAACTTTTTTCCCTTCTGTTGAGCAAAATTTCTTTCCTGTTAAGAAGTATGGTTTAGCCCAATACCCCCTAAGGTCAAGTTTTTTTCCCCTGTTGGTAAGCTGTTAATCAAATTGTCAATTCCTGTGACAAATTCCAGAGGAAGTGGCAAGGCTGGTGTCTTTACCCTCATGTGCCTTGTGCTTGAAGAGTGGGGAGGTCACAAGCCTTCTGTTAACGTCTTGCCCTTTTGCTTCACAGCTTTGGCAACATTTCCTTTCTTTGATGGGTAGAGATTGGGAGGCACCTTCTGAAGAGGTGGAATTATTTAAAACAGATTTTTTGGGCCCTTGTACTCGAAGGCAGAAAATCCTGTGGCAGTGTGTGAGAGGGGCAGTTCTATGGGGGTTGGGTGAGATAAATGCAAGATTATTTGAAGAAAAGTATAGGTGGAGGAGGTGATAAACTCACAAAGAGAAGAGTGGTGCATTGGGCTTTAGTGACGGCAGAATTTAAAGATGTGCCTTTTATTGATTTGATTAGACATTGGCAAACAGTATCAGGTTTCCAAAGAAGTAAACAGTTAATGGGGATGAAATGGAGTCCACCAGATTGTTGGAGAATCAAGTTTAATTTTGTTGGGTGCTGTATCAGAAATCCGAGACCATCAGGTGTAGGGGTGTTGTCAGAAATCATGAAGGCAATGTTTTGCTTAGATTTTTGGGCCCAGCGGGACAGGGGAAACCTTTGAGAGCAGAATTGATGACTCTAATACAGGGTTTAAAATTGTTACATCAACAGAGGTTAAGGGATGTAATAATGGAGGGAGACTGTCAAGTGGTTGTTTGCGGGATGAAAGGTGAAGAACGAATACCTTGGGAATTTAAGGCTTTGGTAAGGATGGCTGTCTCACTAGGGTCCTCCCTGAATGCCTTGTTCAACTAGACCCCTAGAAGCGCAAATATGTTAGCAAATTCTTTAGCAAGAGATGGAGTGGGAAGAGATTCTCTGCTGTGGGATTGCCCTGGACCAAGCTATAATCTGTAGAAAAGATTTCTTGGTAGGGGTGGGGAATTTGTTTCTGTTATATACAGTATGCTTGTTTGAATGATGGTTGATTTGTAGTCAGTTTGACTTGATTAATGAAATTAATGATGGTTGCTTTGTAGTCAGTTTGACTTGATTAATGAAAACCTTCTGTTGTTTATAAAAAAAAAAGTTATGAAGATATTTCTGGGATTTCATGATATTTGCACTGTCTTTATTCTATTGCATAAAGATATTTATGACTTTCCCCTTACATTAACTAGCCAAATAAAGTATTATTTAGTGGGGGTTGTGGGAAATGGAATTAGATGACCAACCCATCCTTCTCTAATCCTGCTCCTCTCCTACTGTACTCTATCTCACTCAATCATATACTAGTGAAATGAAGAAAAAAATCAGCTCACAATTACTATCAGGTACTTTTACAAGGTCTGGGGAGAAGATAGGATTTAGGATTTGTAGAGGATAGGTGTACTTACTATAGGTTAAAACCAGTTAAAATTAAAACCCTACTCTTCACGCACCAAACACCACAGGGATCACTGCTAGGGTCTTGAAATTACAAAAAACAACTATATCATAAGCTAATAATCTCAAAACATTAATACATTATTGTCAAAGCTGAGGTTTAACAACTATATATATAGAGGCCTCTATGGGGCAGCCAGCCCCAGTTTGCTAAAAAGACTAAACTGCCCTTGTGAGTAAAGATAAATAAAGCTGTAAACTGACCCAAAACTCAACATTAGCTTTAGAGACTTAAATTAATCACAAAATAAGACTAAATGAACAAATTTCCATAGCCAAATCCCACAAGCCAAGAAAAAAAAGGAAAAAAGTTACCTTTTTTGCCCAATAGTACCAAAAAAATAATAAAGAAAACTTGAATTAAGAAAGTAATAGTGATCTAGCGAATACTGGTGCTCTGCCATCGTTGTATCTGACACAAGGTTAGGGTCACAAAAAGTGCTAAACAACATAAACAAATAGCAGTTTCTAGGGCTGGAAAAAGTTGGACAGTAGCAATTAAGGTTAAACCCCAGAATTTTGCATGATGAGGACTCTACAGTCTGTAAAACCAAATTACCTGAAAATAGGAAAAAACACTAGTTGAAATAACAGTTTTTAGTAGTTCTATTATTCTAACTTGTTAATTATACATCTTGTACACTTGTTATATGTATAGTTGAGAATGGAGTACCACTGAAAGTAAGAAGACAAGAAAGTAAAAATAATGAATACAAAGAATTGTCAAAAAGTATTCCCATGGACTACAAATTGAAAGATTAAGTTTGAGAAGATTGAAATTAATATATGCATGCAGGACAGTAAGAAGGAAGATAAGGAAGCCTTCCCCTGGTGTGTAGCAAACTAACAAGTATAAAGAAAATTAATAATCTAAACACAAACTACAAGTAAAATTACAAAATTCCAGAAAAGGCACACACCAAACTAAACAGTACAAAGTTATCTCTAACAAAAAAAAAAGAAAAGAAAAGAAAAGAAATACACAAATAACTAAATAAATAAAACATTACTGTAACAATTTCAAGCTTGTGAGGCATGACATATTCTACATTGAAATTGGTATTGGGAGGTGACCACGGAAATAGGATGCTCAAGATTTATTGTCACTGCAGGATCCCATTCTATTAACGAAGGTGCTGTTGTCCTGTAGTTGCCTGAGGGGAAAAAAAAGCTATATACCCCATCTTTCAAGTACTTGTATGTATTGAACTTTTGAATGTGATGAAATTGTTTTCTTTCCTTTTTTTTTTTTGATGAGTAAAATGAAGTGATAAACATATGATGCTTAAATATGGGTGCTAACATTGACATGGATATAGGAAATGGGATACAACTATTTTCTAATATCACAGACATGGACATGGGTATGGGTGCTCTATGATACCCAAAAGAGGGATACTGAAATGGAAATGGATATGGGTTATAGGAAATCATGATACAACTTTCCATTTCCTAAAATCCTCAACATGGATAGGGGTATGAGTATCCTATATAATATGCTTATATCATGCTTGTATATATAAGTTTTTGAAGCTAAGATTTATTTCTCGAGACTTGTGTTATAAAATTTAATGAAATTTACAACATATACAGATAGTCTATAGTATTAAAACATGCTGTGTATTTTTAAAGTAATAATGCTATAAGAATATGCCTAGAAGTGTCCATGCAGCATCTAGTGTTGTATTGAGTACATATTGTGTCCAACACCAGTACACTACAAAAGCAAAAGAGATATACCCCACCTTTTGAGTACTTGTGTATATAAACTTTTCACTGTAATAAACTAGGAAAAGATACCTTCCACCATCAGTTAACTATCATACCCTCTTCATCTTACTTACCGCCCCTCTGAAGCATAAGCTCCTTTTAAAGTTTGAAGAAGTAAATGGAAACCAAATAATTAAAATGCTATTCTGTGACGATATGGGTGGAAATCAGTGATCCTAAAATGGAATGAAATTTTTCGCACAACTGCAAAGAAAGAAATCTTTTTGCTTTTGTGAGGTTGCATCTTATGTATGAAAAAACAATTCAATCATAGCTGCAGATATTGAATATGTCAAAGAAATGAAAGCATGAGATTAACTCTTTCTTCAGGTAGATTGTGCAGCATACCAGTACAAAAAACGCTGTTGACAGGACTGACTTGAGCACAAAGAAGCTAACAGAGAGTGCGACTACAGCTACACCAATCCTTGCAATTGGTCTTGGGATAGAATCCTATTACCAAAAATAAAGGAATGTGAAACATAGTAGACAAACTAAACCAAGTTATTACAATAGTCTTGTTAAATCAGATTAGTAAGGTAGTAAGGTACAAAAAGAATAGAAGGGGGAAAACTTACAGGTACAAGATTGGTCCCAGCCTCAATTCCATCTTTCCCAACCTTCCACACTGTTTGGATAACTACTCCACAGGATTCATAAGTAGAAGTTAGAAAAATAAAACAGAAACACAAACTTATTTTGTTTTATTTGTGATTCATAAGAGGAATTACAAAACAAGTACTTCACCAAAAATCAGAGATGATGCTATGTTGCTATTTGTGAATTTCAGACATGACATGTTATTAGATATGAGATGGTACAACATATTGAATACACATTAATGCAAATTATCAATGATTGTATGATACATGGTGCCTGCCCACTGTCTCACTAGGAAACAAGTATGAAAGAAAACTGTACATCACAAATGCAGGCTGAACCATATAGACCAAAACTAGGTTTAAACTTGCCAGAATAAAGGTAGGAAAGCAAACTCTGTAGTCTGTACTGACATTATCATGTTTCCATCTGTTCATTACATTTGCATTTTCAGGTTGGTGATTACTTCTCAGACAATTCAAACTTCATGAAAACCACATGAATACAACATACAAAGACAAGCAGGATAAAGAACACCTACTAGAGCAATAAATGCATAAAACAAAGCTGAAATCAGGAAACCCAGTAAAGCTAACCTCTCAAAAAGTCGGATTGCGCGGCGACGACGACGAGAGGTACTGAATTGGGTCGGTATCTTCTGAGATTTTTGTTGTTCGGGAGCACAAAGTCTCTCCTCGACTTCCTCAGTGTTGGAGATTTCGGAGAAACGAACCGTGAAGGGCCGAGAAGAAATGAAGCACTAGTTCTTCGCTTTGTTGATCGAAAAGGAGAAGAATGGAGGGACAGAGAGTGGAGGCAAGTAGAAGCAGAGGAACAAGCCATCTTTATTTATCTCTCAAGCTTCCTACTTATTTTGTATATTTTACTCCCTTTATGTGTGTACAGTTGTCTGTATAAAGGAGGCAATTTATTAGTGTGGTTTGAACAAAACAGGAAGTAGACTGGGAGAAATTTTTCACAGAATCAACCGAGCTGTGAGGTCGTTCAAGTTCAGTTCAATTTAAGGCCCGAGTTGTTTTTTTCTTTCTCTCTTCTAGGGTCTAAATCAAACTTCCGTTGATTCTTGATTTATTTTGAGATAAAAGATCTGTTTTATCTCAAAATGAATGAACCTCGATTGGTTGATTCTAAAACCAGTGACTTTTCATTGGTGGTTTGGCTGCTTTGTATGAATCGCGATCTGCTCCTCGGACCGCGCCTCACACTGACCTCACAGTCAGTCTTCGCTGCACATCATGTTTATCATTCATGGGGATTCCCACTACAGAGTGGGATGTTGCTGCGAAATCAGTGTGAGACGCGCTAGGTAAGAAACGGATGTGACGGGATCTACTCGTCACAAATGGGTGCCATTGGGAGCATCTCCCATGAGTAATAACAAATAGGTACGGGAAATGTTCTGATAGAATGTGTGTGAGGTGTCAGGTGTGAGGAGCAGATCAGGTCTGTCTGCTTTATTTATTAAGGTTGGGATATTTACTTATTTGGGATTTACATTTGCACCCCCCCTTTCACAAACGCCCCACATGCTCAATATACATCTCACATAGCACCGACCTCACAATCACATCCCACCTTAGAAATATTCATGGTGCATTGGAAAATTGCAAGTCTGAACGATATTCAGCGCTACAATAATGGTTTTTTCGGCGAGTTGGGTTTTAACATTTACTGCGATTTGCTAATATTCCATCATATCGGCATTTGAAGGAACTGAAATGCATGTATACTAACCTGTTCACTCTGAGTGCGGAAAGTAGACCACCCGGCTCCCAATAGTAGTAGGCAAAGAAACAAGAGGGCACATGCATGTATGCCACGACTCCGGATCTCTTGTCAATAAGAACTCTGTCCACGCCTACTCACAATATACTATCCCCGTGAATTAAGTGAAGGGATGAGAGATCCATCATATGAATAACCGAACCCTGCAGGTAGGTAGGGCGAAACTTCAAAAATTTCTCTTTCTCCCATGTGCGAATCACATTCCCTGTTTTAGAAAATCTACATTTTCAATGATCAATCTTGAACCTAAACCAAACCAGATCTGAAACCAAAAGGTAGGAGAGGAATATACCTGATACGGAGTAGCAGTAACTCCCAACGAAGGTGTTCACACCCAAGGAAAAATCCAAAGATTGCTCACACTGAATATGATACAACGTAGGGTGGAGCAGAATCAGCAGGTGGTTCTTCACAAGAACAAAATCCTTCAGCAAGAATTCGATTGAGGGGTATGTGAGCACGACTTCAGATAAGTTTTTCACCAAAAACTGATATCAAGAACCCATCTTGATCGCTCCTACAGTGGAGAACGAACTAGCAATGGCGGCAGCAGGAGGAGGGTGCAAGAGCAGAATATGGCGCAGTCTTACTGTTGTTGTCTTCTCTCTTTCTGTGATTTGGGATTTGATTGAGTTGTTGTGAATGAAGTTTCGCCCTTCTCCTCCTTTTATAGCTTTAAAGAAAGCTCCTAATCTCATTAGGAGTTTCCTAATCCAAATCCTTATTTGGATCTAGACTCTCTTTAAGAGATAAGGATAAGCCTTATTTTATCTGCATATTAGATCAGCCCTCCTAATCTTATTAGGAGTTTCCAAATCCAAATCTATATTTGGATTTGGACTCTCTGAGTGGATAAGGATAATCCCTTATCTTATCTGCTGATCCAAATCCCAGATCCGCCCCTCTTTAATTAATCTAATTAAACCAGTTTGAATTTGGCTTTAGGCCCATTAAGTCCATGTGCTCATTCGGCCTCCAAACTGCTGCTCAGTTGGGTTTCCTTGTATGGCGTGGGACCCAAATATTGATCTACACATCAGCCACATGGGTTTAGCCTAGCCTCTGTTACAAAGCCTAGCCGAATTCACTGTAAAAGACAGTAAACCCCTGAGCCCATCACCATGGGCTCTTAATGGAACCAACACTTACACTAAGTGGTCCCTAGGCCAAGCCACCTTATAAAAACCCAGGGGTTGTGGGTAGATGCAAGATTAACCCATTAGGCATTACCCACAATGGTCTTACACTTAACCTCTCAGCCCATAATGATTAAACACTACCCGACAAGAGAAGACCTCTCCCTTGGCTGCAAGGAACAGTGCTGCACTCTCTACTCACACGGATCCCGGGAATTAAAACCTTTTGCAAACATTTTGAAACCATAATATATATATATATATATATATATATATATTTTGCAAAACAAATTTCAACGATTGAAGTCGGTTGCCGATTGCTTTGGTTTCCATCAGAGAGAGTGCATCCCTGATCATTCACTTTGTCCGACCAAGGGGCTGATCCTATCACTATGATCACCCACTCAGATGAATTCTCGGACTGTCCCAACATACTCAGGTTTTGACTCCCTCTAAGAATCTCACTGATTGGCATATCAAAGACAACCCAATCCGACACCTAGTGTAGTATCATAATCGAGTCTAGGGGTCAGGTGTAACATTCCAGTTTTGCCCATCTATCTCCAAGGTCTAGGGCAATACTGGAATTCTGGTCCGATTCAGGGTTTCAAGAAAACCCACACTGCATGTACCTCAGGTCTCACCCTGGTAGCTGAGACAAGCCACCCCAACCAACTTCGCGGCACATCAGTGTCAGCCTTGGCAGGATAAATCTCCACAGATCTATCCAACGGCTGTGAAGATTCTAAACTAACACAAGTCTCGTATGTGTCCAGTTTAAGGGTATTACACAGAAACACACCATAATAACATGAATCAAATATATATTTTATTCATTTACAATGAATGTCATAATGTGCATCATTCTGATTGGAGCTAAGGGCATACACTGTCTAACATTAGGAACATCTCCCGTTGCATAATACCATGTAGAGGTGAATTGGGAACATCTCCCCTTGCATAATACTATGTAGAGGATGAGATGTTCTCTATTTGTGGCTATGATAAATGTGGGCAAAATTCTCTTGGATAAGAGATCCAGACTCGCATGCCACAACCCAGAATTCAGAACTCTCTTTTCCCCTAAAATAAAATCCACGATCAAGAATCTTGAATTCACATATTTGACTCAGCCACTGTTTATAGTTATCAATAATCAGGCTTATGAAGATACAATATCGTATTCCTTTGTTAGGACGATTTTGATCAAATAAATGGGCATTCAAATTAAATGGCTCTATAATCACTTCAATGCCTCCACACACACTAGAGGCAACATGGGTTTTCAACTGAATGTTGGTATGAATTTCAAATCAATAACTTAAAGCGGGAAAGAGAAAAATTTCAGGGGAAAGGAAGAGGAGGAAAAAGCATCAGAAGGGATCATAATAGATTGCAAAGTCGAAACCCCAAAGAGAGAAAAGGACTCTGGTAGCTATAAGCTTACTTTTCTACGCTTCATGAGTGAAACCAGACAAAAACAATCTCATTTATGTGAATACTAAGAAGCCTTTTCTCTCAAAGATAGTGATGTTGCTCAATTCGAGATAGTGCACGAACTGAAGAGGGTAACCAGATAGTCTTTGCTTGGTAGGGCGAGGCCGAGCTACAAGGGTGAGGCCGCGCTTCAAGATCTGTGATCAAAGAAACAGAAGTCAGAGACCCGAGGAGTTATCCCCGGGTAAGAACTTTGACGCTCAAATCAGTAGAAGGTGGTAGGATGGTCAGGCCAAGCTATAAGGACACCGGTCCGAGCTAAGTAGCGGTGTAGGTCTCAGAAGTTGGATCCCTTACCTTGAGCATGGAGTACCTTTTTATAGCCAAAGATTTGTGTCTTTGTCAGATTGGGTTTCTGGGGTTGTCCGGATGAAGTTAGCGGCTGAGGTATTCTGGATAGAGTCCCATTCCCTACTGGAGTCGTCTCCCTTATTCCTCTTTTATCTATAGTCGTGCTCATCCATATGACACATAGTTGACGTGGGTGGAAGGATAAGATGGGGTGCCACAGTAATAGCGTAGCTTGGCCGAGCTAGCCCGTTGTGGCCAGGTTAGGCCGACGTGGTCGGGCTATGCCGACATGGCCGAGTTGTGTTGATGTGGCCGAGTTAGGATGATGTGGCCAAGCGATAGTTGGGCAGCCATGTGTCTCGCAAGACCAGTTCGGCCATGACTCGAACACCACTCCCCCAGTTTTGAAGTCGAGGAATGAAGTTTCCTAGGTTCGTTGCCCGGTTGAGGAATTTCCGAGTATGCGTATCGTCCATGCCGTGTTGGTCATTGCCGAGGAGTCCTCTGATCGTCGGCTGTAGAACTTAAATAAGAACCGAAATTTCGTTCCCGAACCACACCCCTAGTTCTGTTGTCGAGGAGAGGGAATACTCGGTCATACTATTGTGCGGCCTTATGGCCGTAGGCCGCCTAGTCCGAGCATTTGAGCGGCCTAGCCAAGGATTTGCATCGAAGGCTAGACCGGTATGGCGGGTCTTCGCATCAAAGGTTGGATCGGTATAGTAGTTGAACCGGCACAATTAATGGGCGCAACCGTTGCCTGCCGAGGGTGCCGCTTCGGTTTTTTAGGCTTCCTGTCGTATGTTATTGGTCGCGTCGGTTGGCCTTCCGAGGCGTTGTTAGGGGTGCTTCATCTGCACCATTGATCTCTCCTCGGTCTGTGCCCCTGATAGTTATAAAAGGGAAAAGGGGTCCCTCCCCTTTCCATCCTAAGTATCGCTTACAAGAGTTTGGCATCCACTGCTCGGCAAATTCGTTGATCACATAGTTCGGTAGATAGCTCGGTAGATAGCTCGGCAGATAGCTTGACGGATAGCTCGGAGGAGGATGACATTGTCATGGTTGACTCTGAAGGGGTCCATCGTCCCGCTGGTACACCGGTGACTGAGGCAGGAAACAGCTCAGGTCTGCACGTGCTGAGGTTGTCGGTTTACATGGACGATAATCTGGAGACACCTGGGGTTCCCAAGCAGTTACTGCGGGGAATCATGACCATGTCCATAGATCGAGAATCGGTCGGGGTTGGTAGTGGAGCCTTGGAGTGTGCTCTACTTCGGTCTGCTACCTAGGTAAATCCTCTTCTCTTTATTCTTTGTGTTTGGCTCTCCTTTTCGGTGTACTTGTCATA